TTTAACAACTTGTAGCTACCACATCACAATATCAACAACAACCTGTGCAGACTCAGCTCAGTGCAACAGCAACACAACAGTCTTTATCAAACTATGTTTATGATCCATCAACTGGCTATTACTTTGACTCAGCTACTGGCTTATATTACGATGCAAATACCCAGGTATGTGAACAGTAAAACTGACTCTTTTGCAAAGGTTTGCTTATGAATAAAACATTATTTTCTGTGTCAGTTTCTGGGGATTATGATGTATTATGTGTTAAAAATTCTTAAGTGACGAGGTTGTCCTTAATCCTTGTAATCTTAAAATTTGTCTGATGCAAGAAAGAATGTTAACTTAGGTTAGTTTATTGATATTAAAATTGGAACTGGAATTTAATGAAATTAAGATGTGTGTTATTACCAACTGGATTTGTTTTTGTTGTTTTGCGTTCAAGGGTTAAACCCTTCTCAAGATCCTGTCTGTTGTGTTTTTATGTTTTGATTAATTTGGATTTTTATTTGTCATCATTTGAGTGGGGTGCTTTTAAACCAGCTGGATTAGGTACAGTGTAAATGTTAAACAAATCGACAAAAAGATTTCCATGGTCTGTACTCTCGTTGACCATAGAAATGGCATCAAAACCCAAACTCATATGGAACCACAAGCCACAGGCGAGTGGTTTCACTGCAAAGTTTTGAACGTTTTGATGTCATGTTGTTGATTTGTTTTTTACAGTAACATTGACAGATTTGACATCCATTTCCATTGAGAGAAAAGTAAATTGCACCACCATCACGTCATTTACATGATCTGTACTCTTATGGAACATACCGGTAGCCCTCGACCAATCAGTGCACGAAAAATCGCTCAGTTATTGTAAAAACGTCTTTTTTTTCCCACAAACTATCCATAATATTTACATTGCTTTTACAGTATTACTATAACAGTACTACAGGTCAGTTTCTCTATTGGAATGCAGAGACACAGCAGTACATTCCAGTGGCAGCTGATGGGTGAGTGAAGCTTTGTTTAGACATGTTAATTTCAAGATAATTTCCAGATTCATTCAAGTAAACTGTCAAGTATGCCTCAGGTTTCAGAAGTGCAGTTAAAGGAGATAATCAGCCAGCAAGCAATAGTGTGTTTGTTTTCCTTCTTATTTTGAAAACTTAGTTGAAGAGTAATGAGTGGAGGGAAATCAATATAATTATTGATCTTACCATGGAGATATCCAAAGTTATGCCATTTAGAGTTGTGAGGCCTTTTTTGCAACATTTTGTCCTGGCTTTACATGTACTGCATAGAGTGTAAGGTTAATTTACTAAAATCATGATATTGACCTAATTTCAAAGACTTGTTGCCATTTTTTTTCAAGAGTTTTTCAAAAGTACGACTAATAATTAATTAATTTCAATTCCTCATGACCTGAAGGAAATGGATTAGGCTAGCAATTGCACAAAAGACAGTGACTCAACTTTTCCAGTGAACTTCCAAATCACACCAATATTATTATTGTACATACACATATACACAGTTGATGACGTCTTAGTAGTGTATAATATTCTATTTTAAATTATTTACTATTTTTAGGACTTTAGCCCATTCCACGTCATCAAACTCCACACCAGCTGAAAACGCTGCAAACAGTGATCCAACAACAAAAGGTACTGTATGTATGTTTGTTTATGGTGGCAGTGTAACTTATCTCATATGACTACAGTGTAAGTTTCAGTGTTATTTAACAGGCGTATTTCATTTTGCAGAAAAACAGAAGAAAGCAAAGTCGCTACAAGCAAAAAAGGTTCGTGTGTTTAAACGAGTCTGTAATTTCAAAAAACTATTTTGTATTGGCAACAACATTTCACAAGGATGGTAACACCATAGGATTCCATTCAAATTCCAGTCATTTAGGGTTCTTTTTTCATACAAGCACAGATAATATAAAACAAAAGACACAAAGCACCAAACAATACAATCCTATTGAGAGTTTTATACAGTGGAAGCTCAGATCTTAAAGGACACTCTTGTATGCTGACAGCTCTAATTAGGGCCTCCTTCACAAAACCCCAATTCAACTCCCATACAAATCCTGTATTTTTACATTCCCATATGTGGCCATGGACACTTGCGGGGTTTACGAGATAGATTTCCGCTTTGTTTTTAAGATCCCATAAGCAGAAATAAAATCTTATTTGCCTCTTAATATATCAACTTCATATCACTGTTCGTACAGTGTACATCAGTTGCAACGTTTGCTTTTTCTTTTCACATTCCCTTCACATACCACTGGAATTTTATGCTTGTGGCTGAATTACAGCATTGTCAATTGGAAACAACAGTATGCCCGGCATATACCCAAACACTAACAAACCGTTAAAAAATTTATTTATTTTTGCATTTCTAATGATTATTTGTAGTTGGGCAAGCTGTCCAGTGACCACTTAGAGAACCATTCTCATAAGCAGCCAGCTCCAGTAACGGATACCTTTTTCACGCCCCTAGGGTGTCCCCTTGTAAGAGCCTCCACTGTAGTTCCTGTTATTTGACTTATTTGTGGGTTTTGGTTTGCATTATGATAATCTGTGCTGGTACGTGCAAAATGTACGAAGAATTAAAAGGTTGCAAGACATTCTGTGTCTGACTCTTATACTAAAAGGGCCAGACTCAAAGAAATTGAACTGTAAGTTTAAAATTAGCCTGCAAACACAGATTTCATTGTCTCTTTTCCCACCCGAGAAGTGACAGTGAAAAATACCTCTGCATTTGCAGGCTAGTTTAAACTGAACTTGACATTGTTTTCTTAAGATTGCAAAAGACATGGAAAGATGGGCCAAGTCTGTGAATGCTGCCAAGACTCAGAGTGATGATGTTAAAAAAGGGACAACTACTTCATCACCATCTGAACAAATGAAAAGTGTTGATACAGATATCTTCAAAGTGGTAAGATACAGTTTCCTCTTTAGGCAAAGAACATGTTCTTTTACTTAGAAATTCTCTTTCAAAAATTAATTTTGTCTTGTTTTGTTTAATTTTTCAGCCATTTGGAGTACCCCCCAAATCATCATCAACATCACTCACAATCGCCAAGAGCATTGCAGCTGGATTTACTCAAGAAATTAGTGATAATGTAGCAGCGTCTAGTCCTCTTGCAGCTCTTAGTATGAAACAGGAGACCAAGATTACAGGTAAAACTAGTAATAACGATGTAAATCTTGGAACAGGGCTCTGTAATAAGAGACAAGTTAAAGCAGTGTTTCTTGACTGAAGCCAATCTCGCAGAAACTGTTTGATCTCACCTGGAGAAAACCCCTCAAACATACGCCTGCATGGACAAAAAAAAAAATGGGATTATGTTTCTCAGAGTTGTTTATATCCATGGAATATTCCTGAAACGTGTTCTTTTTTTTTGTTCAGATCCTACAAGAGGTGGAATAGTAGCTGAATATGGTGAAGATGATTCCGATCCAGAAGAGGACCTCAATGACAAATTTACTGACTTGAGTATCATGGCCTGTTTATTGTGTAAACGACAGTTTCCTAATAAGGAAGCTCTAGAAAGGCATCAGAAATTATCCGATTTACACAAGGTAATTAATTAATGAAGGTGTGGTTAACTCTTCAGTATACTCCGTGTTTGCTGTGCAGTNCAGCCATTTGGAGTACCCCCCAAATCATCATCAACATCACTCACAATCGCCAAGAGCATTGCAGCTGGATTTACTCAAGAAATTAGTGATAATGTAGCAGCGTCTAGTCCTCTTGCAGCTCTTAGTATGAAACAGGAGACCAAGATTACAGGTAAAACTAGTAATAACGATGTAAATCTTGGAACAGGGCTCTGTAATAAGAGACAAGTTAAAGCAGTGTTTCTTGACTGAAGCCAATCTCGCAGAAACTGTTTGATCTCACCTGGAGAAAACCCCTCAAACATACGCCTGCATGGACAAAAAAAAAAAATGGGATTATGTTTCTCAGAGTTGTTTATATCCATGGAATATTCCTGAAACGTGTTCTTTTTTTTTGTTCAGATCCTACAAGAGGTGGAATAGTAGCTGAATATGGTGAAGATGATTCCGATCCAGAAGAGGACCTCAATGACAAATTTACTGACTTGAGTATCATGGCCTGTTTATTGTGTAAACGACAGTTTCCTAATAAGGAAGCTCTAGAAAGGCATCAGAAATTATCCGATTTACACAAGGTAATTAATTAATGAAGGTGTGGTTAACTCTTCAGTATACTCCGTGTTTGCTGTGCAGTTAGTCTCTCACGTATGCAGTCGTTTCTGTCTTATCACGCAACATTCCTCCCCATCCTCATCACGCAACACTCCTCTACATCCTTCTAGAGGAGGAGTGTTGCGTGACCAGGGAACAAAAACGGCTGCACACGTCATCATCATCATCATCATCCTTCGACCACTGGAGTGGACGGGACATTGAGGGAGATATCCTCCCAAACACCGTGATTCGCCATAGTCGTGGCGGGAGACTCTGACTGAACAGTCAAACTCTCTTACCAAACGGTGAATGACCGAACAAATCCTTAAATCTTGCCTTGGTATCTATGACCGAGCAATTAATTATACTGATTTTTTTTTTTCATCTTTTCAGCTTATCCCCTGTTTAAATTAGCTGACAGTCACCTTTTTCACAGATAAAATTTTCTCTACATTTAGCAAAACTTGGAGATTCATAAAAAGATGGGAATGACAGATGAACAACTTGAAGCTTATGAAAGACAGGAACGCGAGGTAGGTGGACAACAATTTGTTGTTGAAAACAATCGTCTCCACTGTAGTCAACATAGTTAAATTTT